AAGAAAGAAAGAAAGAAAGAAAGAAAGAAAGAAGAGATGGGGAGAGGTAAAAGTCAACATTAGCAGACTACAGCTTGAGGAAATCCTTGCAGACTGGAGTCAGATTGGATTACTTGTTAGACAAATGCTAGTATTAGAAACAACCCAAAATACACGGGGGGTGGGGAGAAGACGTAATAAAGTTGGGAGTTGTTTTCTTCGTGCAAGCTCTTAAATCTAGGCTAAGTTGCCCCTTTTCCTTTGACTTGATTGGCAGCTGTGGTGTCCCAAACCTGTTCATGTTGTAGAAAGAAAAAGCCACATGTCAAGCGAGTTTGCCTTTGACACAGAGCCTGGTGGCTTCCTTCCCATTTAGGATACTGTCCTCTTTGATAAAATAGTCTATTTGATCCCAAAGGTTACCTATGCCAGCCACTGCACTAACGAAGTAGTCTTTTTGCACAAAAATTAGTTATCATTCCAAGGTCACAAACATCAAAAGGAAGCCAAATGAAAGAAAAAGAAAGATAAATGTAAATATATAAATGAATCTCCATGGAAACAGTTGTAATGGAAAGAATTTAAAAAAAAAACATTAAAAACTCGGAGACTGGAGGGATACCTTAGCAGTTAAGAGCACACTCTGTTCTTGCAAAGGACCTGAGTTCACTTCCTGGCACTTATGTTCAGTGACTCACAGTCACTGGCAACACCAGATGCAGGGGATCTGACTCCCTCTTCTGGCCTCAACAGGTACATGAACTCATGTGCATATACCCATATGTGCACACACTCGCAGACATAGACACAGTCACACAGACATACACACACACACACACACACACACACACACACACACACACACACACAAACACACACGATTTAAAAATAAGATACATCTTTTAAAATGTTTTAAAATTTTTAATTATTATCCAATTTCTAATTATTATCCAATGAATCCAATTATTATTCAAATTCAAGACTGCTGTGGGATGGTCTGTATGTCAAATTGCTCTGATTGGTCAATAAACAAAACACTGATTGGCCAGTGGCCAGGCAGGAAGTATAGGCGGGACTAACAGAGAGGAGAAAGGAGAGAACAGGAAGGCAGATGGAGTCATTGCCAACCACCACCATGACAAGCAGCATGTGAAAATGCCAGTAAGCCACGAGCCATGTGGCAAGGTATAGATTTATGGAAATGGATCAATTTAAGCTATAAGAACAGTTAGCAAGAAGCCTGTCACAGTCATACAGTTTGTAAGCAATATAATTCTCTGTGTTTACTTGGTTGGGTCTGAGCAGCTGTGGGACTGGCAGGTAACACAGATTTGTCCTGACTGTGGGCAGGGCAGGAAAACTCTAGCTACAAATGGCACCCAACATGTTAGCAAGAGTTTCCACCTAAAACCTGAGTAAAAAGAATCTAAAATGGAGCTAAAATCAGTTCCTAGTTGTTTCTTTCAAGCTAGCAGCAGCCTGTGTGTTTGAGCTACTATGGCGAGTTCCTGGCATGTGCGCTCGACCTGCAGTATGGCGGGAATGAGGCCTCTGCAAATGGCACATTAAGCTGCATGGTGGATTTAGCCTTTGCTAGTACAAAACAAAAAAAGAGGTTTCTGGGCTACATGCTGCTTTGATAGAAGCATAGACCTACTATTTCTGAGAGTTGATGGCTCTCAGAGCTGGCGGAAAACATACCACCACCATGTTGGGAAGCTGAAGTGGGAAGAGCCAGCAGCCACAGCGCCATTTCAGTTTTGGAATGCTGCAATTTAAAGCAATAGGCTCAAGGTAATATAAAAAATAAGCCACGTAAAGATGGCTACCACACAGAGAATCTAGATTATGTTCTCTTTGATATTCGTAACTGAAGAAAAACATTTGATTGTAAAAGCTGTTGAGTTATGCCAAAATGTATATTTTAAAGGTACCTTGACTTCAAAATTTGGATATAAGGATATGTTGCTTTGGAAAGGAGGCCCTGCTTTTGTTTCCACAGAAAGCCAGAGGCTATGGATTTGTTCCAGATTAAGATACATCAGGTTTGACCAGCCAAGACCCCCTGAAAGGTCTCCAATGACACCATGGCACAGATGATCCAACATCCAGAATGGTTTGAAGGCAACTGGCTCAGACAATACAGCCTCACGGACTACTCCATGATCCTAAAATTTTCTTTGTGTCCCCATAAGATACAGCGCCCCCCTCCAGCAGGAAGTAGTAAGAGAAGCTACGCCCAAATTCCCAAATATACCAAGCTGGCTTTGGAGATGTGTAAAAGTTAAAACCTTCCTCTTTAAAAAAGAAAAAGAAAAGGGGAATTGCTGTGGGATGATCTGTATGTCAAATTGCTCTGATTGGTCAATAAACAAAACACTGATTGGCCGGTGGCCAGGCAGGAAGTATAGGCGGGACTAACAGAGAGGAGAACAGAAAAAACAGGAAGGCAGAGGGAGTCATTGCCAGCTGCCACCATGACAAGCAGCATGTGAAGACGCCGGTAACCCATGAGTCACGTGGCAAGGTATAGATTTATGGAAATGGATTAATTTAAGCTATAAGAACAGTTAGCAAGAAGCCTGTCATGGGCATACAGTTTGTAAGCAATATAAGTCTCTGTGTTTACTTGGTTGGGTCTGAGCGGCTGTGAGACTGGCGGGTGATACAGATTTGTCCTGACTGTGGGCCAGGCAGGAAAACTCTAGCTACACAAGACTATATTGCTTTATAATATAAAAGAGGCTCCCTTGAATTCTTAGAAAAATAAATTTAGAAGCATTAAAAGTGCATATAGAGCACAAGTTCAAAAAACCCTAAACATACCTGTACATCGGTAGTAGAGGACAATAAAAACAAGAAAGGAATTGAAATAAGCAAAGAAATAACAAAAGAAAATAGGTAAAAATTTCCTTCAACAGAAAAAAATACTAATCTAATAATTAACAAACCCAACAAATGTCAAATAGAGAAAAACGTACACCAAATAGTACCCTTTGTTAAACTTTAGAATATGAAACAAGAAGGAAAATCCTCACAAAACTTTTGGGGGTAAAAAAAAACACTGAATGAGTAAACAGATAATCATCAATTATTTTTATCAGTGACAGAGTGCTGAGGGCTAAAGACCCATTTTAGACGTAGAATTCTGTATTAAGTACAATTTTAGAGATGAAAGGAATCAGAAAGGTTACCTAGTATATTCTAATAATATGAAGATATAATCTCAAAAAAGCAAAAACAAAATAAAAGAAAAGAAAATATAACCCAAGAAAAAGAATCTAAGAACAACTTAACCAACCCACAAGTACATTGAAACAAATCCTATGATGGTCAGTAGGCAAAGAAAGTCATAATTATAAATTAGAAGGGAATTAGAGATCTTTATGAAAATATGGTTTATATTAATTGGGGAGGATAATGCAGATGAGAACACATAAGTCAAAGAATTCTTAGTGAAATATAAAGCAAAATCCAATGTTCCACTGTTTGGGCAATTGTTGAGGTGCGTGTGTGTGTGTGTGTGTGTGTGTGTGTGTGTGTGTGTGTGTGCCTGTGCACGTGAGGTTAGTCTTTGGATTTTTCATTTAATATGTGAGATGCTGTTTTCTTCATGTGTCTAACCCCCTCTACAATTCTAGAGACAATAGTATGCATGAAACTATATGGTTTATTATTATTTAAGAGTTTTATATTTTTAAGTCAAACAATAAACACAACATGGAAGACTTGTTTATGGTTACTGAACTCAAATGTGAGTGACACCAATGTAACAATACAAATCTACAAGTTATTAAAATAATGTTTACATGTAAAATTCCCTCACTAAAAATGACAGCGTAATGGTTCAGTTGAGCGAAGTCAAGAGAAGAGAAGGAAAGTGAATTGTAGGTGAGTCCGTTTTTCTCATCTCCACTAGTAAGAGGAAAGTACATGTAAAGCCAGTGAAGGAAAAACACTGGTTAAGTAGAGTGTTATGTAATAGTGTGATTCAATAGAAAAACTAAAACAGCAAGTATAAAAACACACCAACAATAAACATCAGAACTTAGAGGGGACTAAGGAGAAGACAGAGAGTAAGTGCATGAACTTCTCTCCACATCTACAATTCAGTGGCTACTATCTGAAGTCCTGAGAAAATCAAGGATACAGTACATTATTTAGCCACATGATGGAAAATGTCAGAATGCCACTGAGAGGCAGTTTGCCTTTGGAAATATTTGGGGGAAACATACCACATTTCATTCACTTCTCTTCTGCATACACATGAGCCATTCATTATACATGTACATATGTTTGAAAGTGAAAATTTGTAAATCAAAAACTTCAGTGGAGTTTATGTCATGTGGATACTTATTACCACTAAGAAGAATGAGAACACAAATTGCATTCATATATTTTGTTAGCATTTGCTGTGTACCCACTCTGTGTAAGATGCATATCTCTAACAATGTCTCTATCATGAGCACACTCACCATCTAGCCATGAAGAAACTCTAAACAAGCAATTACATGGATAAATTGCTCAATTATACTTGTGTTAAGTGCTAGGAGGGTAAGTGTTTAACGAGAAAAAACAGCAAACCGCCCGAAGCTCAGAAACCAGGCTCCTTCCGAAGCAAAAGCAGGTTTCACACAATGTCATCTCTCAGTACTGACATTCTAAGCCTTTGGACACATTGGGAATACTCTGTGTGAAATACTGGTCTGACTAAAGTAGTGAAACTAGCTTCCACTTAAGCAGCATTCTGCTTCTTATTCTTTTTTAAGATAGTTTGAATTCTTTGCGAATTTCATACAGTGTATTTTGAACAATGTATATTTACACACACCCAACTTAGAGATTCTTCTGTTTCACGTTGTTGCTGCTGTTACTGCTGTCATTGTTGCTTCTCTCCCCATTGAGACCAGTTTGTGTCGCACATTTAGTTTGAGGTTGGGGCCTGCTCTGCTTTGTGTTCAGCCTAGCAGTGTCACACCATTACAAGCAACACTAACAACTGATTCTCCCTTTCCCAACAGGTAGTTCATAGTTCCTCAGCCGGTGGCAGGATGATGTATTCTCCTTCCCGCTACGCTTGGGTTTTTGCCTAGGAGGAGTTTCTGTAGGTCTTCAGCATGCTGTGACAATCGTTGTGAGTTCGTATGTGCACCTGTCCTGTTGTTTCTGGAATACACTGCTTTCTTAAAGTCATCCACCACCACTGGCTCATACAATCCTTCTGTCTCCTTGTCCTCAAAGATCCCTGAGCCTTGAGGTAAGACATGAATATTTCAGAAATGAAAACACAGCTTTTCGTACATTTTCTGAATTTGAAGAATGTCCCTGAAAACATGATTTAAAATTATGTAAATTTTAAAAAGATAATGTATTGAAAGTTAATAATTTGGCAGTCTAAGAAGCTAAGTGGAGATCAACCCACCTAAACACTGGTATTTCCAGACCTATGAAGAGCTTCCGGTTGGGAAAGAAGTAATGGTGTACCCTGCACTTAAGAACTATTTCCATGCCCATTTCCACTGGGATTTATTCATAAACTCTGAGGAACAGAAAAAATACTTTTATTCAACCTGGATCCAACCAAGACATAGGTCAGAGTATCAGAGGAGGGGATCTGTTCTCAAGACCAGAGTTGGCAAGACACTGTAACTTATTCCAAGTAGAGGAGAGGTTTACAGAACATAAGAGAATATATTCAACATTAGGACACTATTTTATAATCAAACAAGTGTCACTTTTGGTCCTTTAAACACTTGGGAGTTCTCATGTGGTTTGTTCAGAACTGATGTTGTCCACAGGACCCCAGAATGAGCTAGCTCTGTTCCAGATAGCTCTCTGGTAGAGCTACTGACTCTCAGAGGCCAGAGTACGCACACTGCCAACAGTTAGACATGCTATCAGCACTTCCTGTTTGGCAGCCTATTGAACTCAATCATTTGACCATTTAACCAGACCAGAGGGGCAGGCCAGGACATATTTATTACTGGGCTCCCTTGGAAAATATCAATTAATGTCCACTTCTGTACTGAAAGCTGTGCTTCAGCAGCTGCACTGGGCAGAACACACAGGACCATCCACTCCTGTGTGACTCACGCAAAGTCAACCAAGCGAGAAGTTTGGTTTTCTCCGACCACAAATAAAGCCGTGTTTCAACCTGGTACTATTGTTCTTAAAATAACTAATTGAAACATAGGTGCGTCAAGCTTAGTAACACAGAAAAACCAACAGACATGACATTCTGGATTGTCTCTATGCACTTCATAATCTTGCATTTTTTTCCCAAAGACACAGAAAACTAAAGTATGAGCAATCATTTCAAAGAGATAAATTACAGATTGACTTTCTTAGAAAACCCAAAGAGAAAAGTATTCATTTCTGCAATGTTTTAACTTTCTTTTTTCCCTTTTCAGGACTAGAGAGTATTTGTTGGGTGTTTTGTTTTGTTTTGAGCTCTCTTACAGAATTAATATTTTATAAGTCTTTCTAGAATCATCTTAAAAATCTGTACACAATGTGTACTGTGTACCAGGCTGCTGTTTAAGTGCTACATGGACACATACATGTGCATATAACATGTGAATATATTTACTTATATATAAACATACATATATAAACACACACATACATATATTAAATGTGACATATAAACTCCTGTAACTCTAGAAGTCTGGTATTCAGAAAGGTCATGTAACTCATCCAAGACCAGCTTAACAGGTGGCTGAACTAACACTTAAGACTTCATAATACAGATAGTCCCCCAAGAGCCCCAATGCTTAAAGCATCTTCTTAGTAAATGCCACACTTTCACCTGACTTCCCTTACTGTCCCATCAATGTCTTCCATGAGACTCGGAACCCTGGAGTGCCAGCAGCTCCACTATGTTTGGGTACCTCCTCCCTCTGCCTGCCTCTCCGGCCTGCCTGTCAAACAGTTAATGGTCTGTACATAAACACTTACATGAACTAGTGGAGCTCAGCCTTGAAAAGAATCCTAGGGGAATTCTGGAAGACTCTTTTACACTATGAATAATCATCCCTTAATTTATTCATCTGTACATTATGGGTTTCATATCATAGATTTACTTCAGTCAGGGTCAATTACATTGAGGGTGTGAATTTGTTTTGTTTTGATTTTTTTACTTCTGCATTTACAGTGCTTCTCAAATGTATCAGCTCTGTTTTGCCATCTTGGGATCCAAGAAACTCTGATCATTTGAGTGTCCACAACCTCAGTCCTCATCTTAGAGCTTATAAACGTGATGGGCATGTAAACACAAAGACTCTTTGTTAGGGATGATGTCTCTAGAATGGAAATTTTAGACCCTCTTGCTGATTTAGAATGCTTGTTTGTTCAGACACAGGACAACAAAAATAAATTTTCAGTGTCTGGAATATTATTTCTATCCATTTTAACTTTGTCAGGCCAGATCCAGTTTCCACAGAAGATCAAATTAAACTTTTATATCAACTCACTTCTCACTTTCTTGTCAAGGAAAAAAAGTGCTATTTGATAAGCATAGGTTTTCCAGAAAATATCAGCCTGTCATGATGCTACAATCCCTTTGGGCTGATCTAACCTGCTCTAAGAGATCCACATTCTACGGGTTTAGTTTTCCAGACTGGGAACTGAAACCAGCATGTAAGTATTCTGAGCAAACAGGGAAAAGTTCCAATGAGGTCAGGCATTCCATAGTTACCCAAAGGAATCGATGATGGAATGTATAACACGATAGTGAAAGGCAAGTTATGGTTTTGGTCTCCATTGCTGAACCACCAATTTTGATTTTAAGAATCCCTTCAGGTTTGAGGTTCTGATTTTGCTTTTGCATTGTAAGACAATGACTTTCTCAGTTGGTGGTAAGCAGTGGAGATGAATGGGGATACCCCACTCACTTTTCTGCGGGATCTCGGAAATGCACTTCCTAACACTTTCCATGTGATCCAGACCCAGTTATGGATTTGTTAACATTGCAATATATTCGATTGAAACATCATAATTCTTTCCATGACAACAGTGTCTGACGTTACAGATGCACAGCCAGCAAGGTCATGAGTTGACAGATGGAAGTTGGAGCCCAGCAATTACTTTTCCCCAACCATTAGTAAGGACATAACCAAAGAAAGCTGGAGCCTTGTCTAAATCACACCAAACAATGAAAGCAAGAAAACGATTCCCATCTCCTGAGTCTTTCTTGGATACAACAGCCCATCTACGAATCATTGAATTCCTTTGCCCTGATAAAAGCCAAACATTTTAAAGGCAGTAGCAGTTTATCTAAATTATTGTTTTTTTCCTCCATCAGTCTTTATGGTTAATCTCATTTCCTTTTATGGATATGGCAACCCCTTTGAGTAGCTTTTAACCTTTTAAAAGTCGCCTTGACCTGAAGAGCCTAAAAATTTTTAATATAATATTGAACAATAAAAACTGAACAATTGAGACTTTATTTCTTAACAGCAGCCTGCCTGCAGAATTCTGACTCTGGAAACAGAATTCCTGACTGATTTTCTTTTTTTAATTAAAATACTTGTGTGTAGCTTGCTTAGAGCTGAAACCTTCAGCTCTGACCCTTGTTTCACAGGCCCCATTGTTCCCTTTACCCCCACAATATCTTGGCTTTCTCTTTTCCAGAGAAAGAATGTGTTTTATTCTGTAGTACGTCTGCTTCAAAGAGCTCTTACTTCAAGTATCCAGTGCTTCGTTCTGATAAATTTAGGAACCCTCAGCTTAAGATTGTCTCTTTCAATCACATATAATGTAGATGACTTCATGACTACATGCAATAAACTGAGCCTTTTGTTTGCTTTTTTTGTATTTTTTTATTTTCCTCTCTCACTATAGTCTTGGGGTATTATCTATTTTGTGTTTAGTAAGATGTAGGACCAGAAGAAGATGATCCACAGCTACAAGTCACTCAAAAAAAAAAAAAGAAAGAAAAAGAAACAATCTTAGTGTTTGTACAATTGAATTACAAAATCAAAAGGAAGAAAAGCATGATGGCATTCCCACCAATCTTGTAGAAGGGGTAGGGGCCTCACAGTGGGCACGTGGTGAGAGCTGGCAGGGGGCATCTTCTCCTGGAGGAGATGCCTTACTCCCACTGCAACCCAGCTGGGATCCATACTTTCGCATCCTGAGCTGAGGAAGACCTATTGTTAGGAATGTCAGTCAGCTGACATTCTGCCTCCTGCTCTCTCTATCTGAGAGGGGGATCTGCATTTTCTAAGCCAGTTGGCAGCATGCACCACAAACAGCATCACACCGCAGGCCGGCAGTATAGACTGTCCCCCTGTGATAAGTGTACCAGTTCAGTGGTGCACAGGTTTCGGACGCCCTCCCTTGGGCTATCATTCCAGTAAGCAGCGCCGCCGCCTCCTGCCCCTCCCCTCTCCCTTGCACACTGAGCATCAGGCTCTTGAAGCTTCTCCTCCACCTAGTTACAATAACCCATCCTGGCCAGCGATGCTTCAAATTGAACCATGGTTCAGGGGAGCAGTAGGCTTTCCCTGCAAGCACCCTAAATGTGTTAAACAGCCATGCCAGGTAGTTCGTTCGCTTCTCAGAATCAACCTCTTATAGAAACCATCTGTCAATGGAAGTTCGTTTCAGGCAAGTCCTCTGCCCTAGCGTTTGAAGGATAAACAAACTCGCACTTATATAATTTTCTGTAGGGGCAGCATCCTCCCTCACGTCAGAGCTCACTGCCTGCTGACAGCAGACCTGGAAATGGAAAAGGAGGGCAGGCTTTGGAGCCCCAGTGACTGAGCATGGACCTCCAGCATGACTCCGTTTATACAGCTGAGGCTTGACACGCGGGGCTGTTTAGGTGTTGGAATTATTTCATTTGGCACTGTGTCTGCCTCAAATAATACATATTTTTCAGGGAGAGAAACACTGCAAAAGTAAACTCCAACCAATTGGGACATTTATTCTTCAAGTCTAAAATTAATTTCCTGTATTTCTCTGGCATAAAAAAAAAAAATCCTACTGGAACTGCTACCTCATGAGAAGAAAAAAAAATATCAGAAACCGTTTCTCTTACCCTGAGCCCAGTATCAGATGAAATGGAAATGTGCAGGCTTCCTTCGTGCTAGCCCACTGGAACTTTCCAGCCGAGAACCGCGGTCTGCAGACTGTTTTAGGTTAAGCCCCTGCTCCATTCCATGTTAGGTAATCAGATGTCATTTAGGCAAAATAAATGGGAAGTGCTCAAGGAATCAGAAAAGGTGAAAGAGCAGAGTCTGGTTTGGATAAAAGTTTAATTCTTCAGTTCCAACAGGCATAAGCCCTTGGAAGATGCTGAGCAAAGACAGACAGGAGTGGCCGAGTAATGAAGATGGATGCATCTTGTTATCAGTGAGCCGTTTACTAGGGCCTGACGTAACCTTAAACAGTGCAGATAGCTCAGTGGCACTTGCCACTAAAGCCCTAATTAATGGATAGCAGGCCCTAAATTAACAATGTGCATTTACAGATGAATTCTGGGCACTCATTAAATTATGTTCAAATACCAGGCAGAGACTGTTGGCTTACTCCTGCTGGATTACTCCTTTTACTGTGTGTTTAGGAGGCATTTCCACTGGGGCTTTCCTGTCTTTAAGGGCTAGAGACCAGTTATGGAGCAGAAAGGGATGTGGGGGGGTGGGGTGGCGGGGGGTTCACTACTTATGGAGCAAAGAAACAGAGGCTCACCTTTGAGCGACACCTGTGCCATCTTCTAGGTAGTCACAAACAAACGCATTTTATTTGTCTGGTTCTGCCAATCAAGGCTAAAAACAAATGTTGGAATGGCAACCAACTCTGCCAAAGATGGAGCAAGACTTTTCAGAACGTAGCCCCCACATTGTACTTTCAGGGCTGAGTCAGAACACCCAATGGGAAGGAGGGCTTCAGACAACATATAGATTTGTTTGGAGAAAGTTTCATTTGTAACCAAGGAAATTGATGGCGTTGGGTCTGACTGCAGTAGCCCCAACCATTCTTAGGGCCCTCAGCTGAAGCACCGTGGCTCCAGCCAGCCCAGCATGTGTGCAGCCACCACTGGGAAGGAATTGAACTCATTATCTGCCTGGGTTTTCCCTTTATTTTGAGGGTTTTTAATGTGACAAGGTGTAGTCCCTGTGTGGGAAAGTGCATACGTGGCTATTAAATAATATTACCTTCAACTCTCGAAGAAGTAAAATAAAGGCAGATGCCAAATGTAAGTAAGGCATTGGGAAGCAAGTTAAGTGCAAAGAAAAAAACTTAAACTTCCATGGGAGGTGCCCATACAATGGTGGTTTCTGGAAGCACTCAGTCAGGCAGAGATGGATTATGGATTTCAAAAGGGAAGTCTCTCGCAAACAGCTCCCTTTGGGTCACTTCTGCTCTGGCTAAAATACTGAGGCGAGGTCCTTCTGTGGAGAGGGGAAAACACCTGAGGTGTTGAACAAGTCACTCTCTGGAGGCATCCACTGTAAGCAAGCACAGCTGCCTGCCTGCTAAGGGCATAGGCCCGAGACTGTGGAACAGCCCAGGAGAATTCCCTAGGCTGCTGTTCTAAGACCCATGTATGGTCAAAAGCAAAGGCATGCCCTTATTTCTAGGGCTCCTTCCTGCAACGGGCTTTGGATAGTTGAGTGAGTGTATGTTCAGGAACAGGCTACTCCCAGGGCCCTGCAGGGGCTGTGGAAAGGCAAGCCAGTTTGCCAACGGAGGAAAAAATAACTCTTTAATTTTAAAATGCCCAAGGGACTTGTGTTAGGATGGAGACTGGAGAGAAGGAGGGTAGAAACTGTGCTCTTGATGTCTGCCACCTACATATCCCTGGGAAATTAATTGGGAGGGAACTGATCAGAGCGAGGAAAACAGGTGTTTCCCTTTCCCCAAGGACATTTCTCATTTATTATATGTCTAGTCAAAAGTTTCTTTTTGAGCAGACTTTATCACATACAGATAGAGGCTGTTAAAAAAAAAAAAGCACCCTGAGCAATTATTTTAAGAGCTGCCCTTGTTCCACATTGTGTGACTGAATACAAACCCTTTCTTCTTCCCAGTTTGACGATGGGATGGGGATTTAACCTCTGCTCGCCATCATTATCAGTTCACTGCGCTTCTGAGTACAAACCACAAAGCTCCTGAAAATGTAAGTGACTGGATGTTTGCCCTTGCCCCACTCCCCCCACATCCAAAGCAATCCAAATACAGAGCTTACTGGGAGCCGAGAGGATCAATAGGAAAGAGTTTCTTCTTACAACATTCCCCTGGAGTTCTCAGAACTCCATCCCTGGGATCTCTAGTCCCAGTGGCCATACAATTAAGGAGACAAGAAAAAAATGTAGACTTCGGACAATGAGAGAGAATGAGCAAAGGACAGACGCAAATCACGGCCTCTTTCTCCGCTTCCATTATGAGCTGCATAACCCAGCTCATCACAGCATATGGAAAGGCTGTGTTTCCTCAGGTTTCAAACGCCTGATGGTTCAATGAGAAATGTATGTCATAATAAAGCAACAAAAGAGCTGTCCCTTCCATAACCCTCGCTGGCAAAACCTCAAGAATCCCTAGTCCGTAGCTCTCTGATTCAAGGGGTCCCTGGGGAGCCTCACATGTGTCCCAAATCACTGCCAGTGTCCTCTGCTCCCACCTCATGCCTTTTTCTCCACTTTTGCTGCCATTCCCGACTCCCAGGATGACTCTCCAGATGTTAAATTTGACATCAGGCTGCCATCCTGATATTTCCAACCTGACATCCTCTCTTTTAAGAGTCTGACCTTGGCCTAGAGAAGCCCTGCTGGGCCCGCATAAAAGAAACCCATTCTTTCTCAGTGTAGCCCACATGTTTGTTAGACAGTTAAAGGTTAGCTTTTTGTTCTTAGGAGGGCCTTCTCCTCAGGGGGACAAGTCATCAACCCCAACCTGACAAATAGGAGTTCTTCCAAAGAGTTTTACTAGCCCATGTAGACAGACTCAGATTGGCTGGCTGTACTACAGTAGATGCTCTCACATGAAGACCCTCAAAGGCATGGACCAGTAGTATCAGCAGTGTGTGTATCTATGTATGTGTGTGTGTATATGTGTGTGTGTGTGTATAACTAATTAATATATACTAGCGTATATATTCTATATGTGCCCTACAATACATATGCTAGTATATATACATATTCTATATATACACAGAGAATATTCTAATATATATATTCATGTGCTGATAAAATGAGCCTTTCTATTGGTCGACCGTTTGAATTAGGGCCTTCCTATTTGCTATAACAAAACAAGAACATATAATAACAGATCAGCAGAGTTGATATTTCTCAAAGAGAAAACACAAAGCAAAATAAAAAAAAAAAAAACAGACAAAACCCAGTGGGTATACTGGACCCCTGTTCTTGGAGTTCCAGTATCTTCATTTCTTAGTGCCTTACCCTCAGCAGCAACATAACACCGGTAAAAGTGACGTGATACCCCTCGATACAGGGGAAGAGAGTGGAAAATGTAGCCCCAGGCTAGGAAACGGGCTCCCTACAACAACTCTACCTGGGAAAGAGAACGCACTCAAATGGAGTAGCCAAACTCATCAGATCACTCCACTGAGAGGTGTCTTTACCAAAGTTCTATAACTAAGATAATGTGTTTTCAACTTGACCCTTTCTTTGAAATCCTTTTATTTCACTGTATTTCCCATGCAATGCCTGTCATGAAGCCTAGAGCAAGGCTAGACCATTACTACCTGTTCTAATTTGCTTTCTATTGCTGTGAGAAACACCATGATCTAAAGCAACTCTTCCACCTTACATCTTATAGTCCATCATGAAGGGAAATCAGGACAGGAAATCAAGGAAGAAATCCCAAGGCGAGAACTGAAGCACGGGCCTTGAAGGAATGTTGCTTATGGTTGGCTCCCTGTTGCTGACTTGGTCTGCTTCCTTACAGAACTCAAGACCACCTGAGTGGGGACTGGGCCCCCCTACATCAGTCATTAGTCAAGAAAATGCCCCTCAGGCTGTGGGCAGGTCATTCTGCTGGAGGCACTTTCTCAACCAAGGTTCCCTCTCCCCAGATGGTCCTAGCTTATGTCAAGTTGACAAAAGAGCCAACTATCACACTAATGCTACACATTACCAAAAAAAGGGAAGTGATGAGTCTGCTGAATGATGAGGAAAATGTGTAAAACAGGGTAGTATAAATCTAGTCTCTTATAAAAAGAAAAGGAACACTAGCAGATATTGTCAAAATCAAAGTGTTCAGAAATCCGAAAATGCACCAAAAGTGTACAACCGGGAGGTGCACTTGTCTAAGCAAAACCTCTGGATTTTCATAAGAAAAAAAACTTTATCACACCATTGCTTGCCTTCTGTAGCCCTACCAGCCCACAGTTACACTGAAAATCAGCAACTTAGCAACCATTAGAGATTTCCCAGAAAACTACCATCATTTGAACAGTAGCCTGTAAGCTCCTAGATGAATATATGTCTTTATGAATTGACTCAAACTCCTCTGGGGCTTCTACCTTGGGACCATATCCAAACAGTAGTAGTTGGGTGACATGACATGCTGGAGCCAACCATGACAAGAAGGAAGAACAAAATACTAACTAAAAACTTACAGATGAGCTGGGCAGTAGTGGCGCATGCCTTTAACCCCAGCACTCGGCAGGCAGAGCCAGGCGGATCTCTGTGAGTTCGAGGCCAGCCTGGGCTACAGAGTGAGTTCCAGGAAAGGCGCAAAGCTACACAGAGAAACCCTGTCTCGAAAAGAAAAGAAAAAAAAACTTACAGATGAAATTGGGCAGTGAAATGTTTTGTCATGATTTGAAATTTTCTGGGACATTCCTGGGAATCTAGAAATCTGTATGTCATAAGGCTAGCTACATGCTCAGGTCAGACGTGTGAAGTCCCTCAACTCTTACTTTGGTTAATCTTAGGGCACCATGGAAGTAAGAAGTGACTCAACACACACAGGAAAGCATTCTGACAACTAACTGGTGATTTCTTCTCAGAAACCATGGGAGCCGAAAAGCAGTGGAATGACACACTCAAGCATCTGGCCGAAAGATGAGAATTCTATATCCAGCAAAACTATCTTACATATATACACATTCCCAGATGATCAGGACCTGAGTTTGTGGATAGCTGGCTTATCCTGCGAGAGTCATGAAGGAATCCTAGTTGAACTGAAACACCATTACAGAGTAAATGAGTCTGTGAGAAGAAATAGGTAAACATCATGATACAGGAAAATATGAAAGTCTGCAGATCTGTCTTCTCCTTATATTTCTTTTCCCCTGTAAGATTTAAGAAAATTTCTTATACTAATAATGTATAATTTCTGCTAATGGGTAACTAATGTGTAGCCATGTTATTTATTAGAAAGCAACAAGATGAGGGGACACAAATAAAGTTATAGGGCAGTAAATGCTGTGCATATCATTAAAATCCACTTGACATTAATAGAAACTAAACTGTGAGAAATTAAATGTTAATTTAGAAGATAAAAACTCTGTAAAACCAGGTCATTCTGGTTTTTTTATGGCTGTATAATATCCATTGTGTAGTTATACTACATTTTGTTTATTATATAACAGATGAATCTTGAAAACAGTATATTATATGAAAGAAGCTAAACACAAAAAGCCACATATTTCATGATTCAATTTGTATGCATTTTCTGAGTATGTTGACGCACAGAAATAGAAAGTAGGTAAGTAGTTGGAGAGGTGAAGAAGAATGAGAGATGAGAAATGATTGCTAATGAGTACAGGATTTGGGGGGCATAATGAAAGTGCCCCAGACTGGATGTTTATGGTAGGTAGTCAACCTTGTCAATACACTAAAAATCCAGTGGCTTTTATCCTTTAAAAGGTTTAGCTTTATGATATGTGAATTTTCTAAAGTTATAATAAATGTTATTCATGTTTCACCCATAAGCATGTGTGTATGCAAGCACATCCATGTACACACACATAGAGAGACACATACACAAAACACGGGGTAGATGAGCAGAAGTTTGGATACAAACATATCTGACTAGGGCTTGTTCTTCCACTTCTCTTTGATATATGGTTCTTTTCACCTAGAATAAATTAAAAAGGATAAATACTGTAATAGTTTTCTTCTAGAAAACCTTTATTTTTTAGTACATGGGGGTTTTATTGTTATGTAACAAATTTCACAAGCTTAGAAAGGTTAAATAGTACAAGGTTATTATTCCCAAATCCCATGGTCAGGAGTCCACACACAGGACACTGCACTTCAGTTTCTTATCAAGCCAAAGTCAGGCATCATCCAGAGCAACACTGTGGTCAGACATCATCCCACACTCATGGGAGAGGAACTACAAGGCGTGAGTCATTGGCAGCTTTACAAAATTGCACCTATCAGAAGTATGTTTTCCATAGATGCCAAATAAGTATATATATATATACAAGAGGTTTGGACAACATCTGGGAGACCTGATCTAGCTACGTACACCAGACTAGAACACTTAAGCACTGAATAGACCTAGTGAAGTTTTTTAATCCATCCTCCAGCAGAATTCTGTCTGGCTAGAGGTAGGGAGATTTCTATATTCTATCACTTAGTGTGTGTGTGTGTGTGTGTGTGCGTGTGTGTGTGTGTGTGTGTGTGTGTGTGTGTGTGTGTGTGTGTTGAGATTCAAGGTCAATCTCAGATGTCATCCCTCAAGAGCCATCCACCTTGTGTTTTGAGACAGAGTCTCGGATTGGAACCATTTTTGGCTTGGCTGGCTGACCAGTGAAGCCCAAGTTTCCTCCTGTGTCTACCTCCAAAGCACTGGGATTACAAGTGGATGCCACCATGCCCAGCTTCCTACGGCAGAACTTGGGCCTTTGTGCTTGCCGTTTACCAACTGAGCCTGTTCCCTAGCCCCCGTCTTAGATTTGTTGAGAAGTGCCAGGTGGATAGCACGGTTGAGAGCTGTTACCCTAAGACATTGCAAGCCACAGTTTGCTGAGCAGGACCATACAGGACTGTGAGTAAAGTCTGTGCTGGCTGGGAAATTAAACTGACACACATAAGTGAGAATATATAGTTTAAATGACAGGTATAGTTCAGATCTCCACTCCAATTTAATGTCCTTATAATCTTCTCTAAAGTTACTTGAAATCTCTTTTTCTTATCCATAAAGTAGAAAAACTAGTACCAGCCCCAGCCAACCGATGATGGGAAAAATGGTTCCTGACAAACTTTTCTATAGACAAGTTACAGGGCTCTCAGAGCCTCTCCTGGTTGGCAGTTTCCTGATTTGTAGATTGTTATGATTCCTTGCATCTGTCCTATGAGCGTGCTAGGAGGTTGGTCCTCCTGCCCACTTATTTTGGAAAAGGAAGGATAAGCACTTAGAGGAAGCCTGTTCCTTTCCCTCAAGCTGCCTTCTGAATCCGCTGCTCAGCCTCCCCTTTGTGAGATCTGCTTCACAGGGAAAAAAAAAAAAAAAAACATCTGTGCATACTAAAGGTTCTCTGTAGGTGGAGGGGGAAAATGTTCCCTAGAAAATGTTAATATCATATAACACTTCTCCCCCACACTGCATTACACATAGATTGGGCATGCCACGCACAGCCAATTACAACGTGAAACATGATCCCATGCCCAAATGCTGAACTTCTCTTTGCACCCACCACTGGCCATGACTGCTAATGCTGGGACCCAGCTCACCTCCACTGGCTTACCCAGATCCATCCCTCATGTCTCCTGTCAGTGGGGAGAGGAGAGAAAAGACAGGTCATGTGGTCTGATATGAGATGGAAAGAAAAATACAGCATCCTGCCGAAAAACACCACCACTCACATTGGGCGTTCATTGTCTCAAACTTGCAAATAATTAGACCTGCAGTATCCAACTTAAAGGATTGTTCGAGTGTGAGTGAGGTAAGAGATGTCAGATGCAGTATGGAGTCTATTGAGCACCATATAATGATATGGCTCTAGGAAGATGTGAAAGATGTTAAACAAAATTAGGAGGGAGTGGTTCTCTTGCTTTCAAACTATCCTGATGTGCCGTGTTGTCCTTTGGTCTTGAATCATGCACATGTGTGCACGTGTGTGTGTATGTGTGTGTGTGTGTGTGTGTGTGTGTGTGTGTGTGTGTGTGTGTGTGTGTATGTATATCATATCTTACCACATCATAGCATATTAAATGTTCCTTTGGAGTGGTGATTATCTTGTTTGTTTAGAATCCAAGTCTCAGCAAGCAGGTGCCATGATCTGAAGAACCCAAGAGGGAATGTTATGTTTTCATGGAGGAGAGGAGGAAGACAGAGGCATTGGTTTATATGAGCCAATGGTGAAATTCTAGTTGAAAATCCAGCAAGGATGAGACCCCAGAAGAACTAATATTTCCATTCAGTTATTTTTAGGTCTGAAAATGAATATTTATTTTGAATCAGAAAGCAAATTAATAGCAATGGCTAATAAAAATCAGTTTAAAATATCACAAATATTACATTTTGATTGATGTTTTTAGCTTTTACCAGGATAATTCCTTCTTCATATATTTGGATTTGAGTGTGCTCAATAATACTGAAAATAAAACCAAGTAGTTTGAAACCATAAAATAAACAAGAGGAATTAAAATATGGTTTTAGGTCTGATTTAATGAACTGAAAAACTAAATAAGCAACTTAGTCATATAATACACTTTAAAAAATGCATCCAGGACCTTGTTCATAGGAACACCTGGATCTTCAGAATGTTTTGTTTTTGAGATTGTAGGATAATCACTCATTATCCTTTCCCTTTCCTCCCTCTAACATCATATATATATATATGGTGTTAGAGGGAGATATATATATATATGATATATATATATCATATATATATATATATATATATATATATATATATATATATATATATACACACACATATATTCCTGAAAATAACTTGTGTCTGGATGCTGTTACTTGAGCCTTGATCCGTTCACTTTTTAGGCACAAGGGGAACATTGCAGCTCCAATGTCAGAGTACAGGAGTCCCTTCTTACTAGTGGGAAAGTCAGGGTTTTTGTTTCTTTTATGTCATATGATTGGGTAAGCTACCTTGATTCTTAAGAAACATATACTTGCTTCCTATAGTTCTGATGGTTGGAATGGCCAATCCGGAGAGGCTGTATCTGGCGGGGACTTGCTTACCACATCCTAGCGTGGCAGATGGTGCATCACGGCAAGAGAGAAGCTGAGTGAGGCCAACTGATTTCATAACAAACCCATTCTCATGATAACTACTTCCCTCCTGTGATGATCCTTTATTCCTTTGTGACCCAATCACCTCTACAAGATCCAACCTATCAGCACTCTTGCTTTGAGGACTTGATTCCAACACACAGATCTTGGGTAACTGTTCCCAACACCTCAAGAGCCACCCATGCTAGGGAGGACAACTCTCTTTACTCAGCATACTTACTTAAATGTTAATTTCATCCAAAAATACAGACAAATCCCGATTGATAGTTGGCCGAATATCTAAACACTACCAGACCAGTTGGCACACGAAATAATCACAGACACATGCTTGTCCCCTTAGCCACCCACCAACCACTAAAAAATAAATTCAAAAATATTCTCAGAGGCACCTACTTTCTCTTTCATTTCTAGAATCAGAAAATGCAACTCCCCACCCCCACAAAGCAAGCAACTGCGTGAAATAAAAGTGAACGGATTCCCATTCTCCACCCTCTGGTTTGTTCACTGTACCAGCCAAAGGTCTCAGGCCTGGCTGGAGTTAGGACAGAACCTTCCACAGGTGTCTACAGAGTGGACTATCATCCAGAAACTCAGCCTCTTTTCCCCTCTCCTCTGCTCACCCCCATCACCCCACAAATGCAGGCTTTGGCTGTGCTTAAAACACGCTTATTCTGTTCATTTATGTACGTTACCATGGGTACCTAATGACAAGGCAGGCTGTAACTGTTATGTGTGTTGTTAAATGTGTGTCAAATAAATATCATTAGAAGTTCTAGTTGGTGATAAACACTGTGGTCTAGTTGAAAAGACATGAGATAAATAATCAGAGAACGTGACTTTGAATTCTGGCCCTGTCACCTGCTGAATATATGAAAACAGACAAAGCACCTACTCCATTTAACCCTCCATTTCCTGCCCTTTCTAACATCTACAACATAGGATTGCTGCGGGATTTGGCGGAATAAAGGCTGCTCTTGGCGGCAGAAGTTCCATAAGACACTGTTGCAAATGTTACAGATTATATTACATTATTTTCAATCTTCACAATGTGCTCTTTATTTAAGCCCCCACTCACTACCAAAAGACAAAAATAACGCTTTATTTTTTTTTTTTTAAGTTCCTGAGAGACATGGACCACAACAAAGCAAACTGCTAGGAAGCCTCAGGAATCAAATAGAAAATGTAGGAAAGAAATAAACCCAAACTTTAGAAAAGACAAAAAAGGGAAAAAAATCAGGGAGCAGAAACGACCGAGTCATAGCTACAACTAGGAACTTTACAGCCCTTGGAGGAGGCATTCCACTCACGACGACGGCGGGAGAGATACTGTACTTTAAGAAAAGCCTTCATTTATCATAAAAATGATATTGGCTATCCTACAGACCAGCTGTGGAGCTCTCCAAGGGTGAAAGAGACAGGACAAATTGTGCCCAAGTATCAAGGGAAAGAGGGTCACAACTCTTTCAGGGTATCAGCGTAGCCCATTGGGCAGTGACAATAAAACGGCTCAGCTTAAATGTCAGCAAAGCAGAGGTGGGTCCTGTCAGAGGCAGAATACAGGCAACGCTCATATCTCGGCTCTATAATGGATGTGCTCTTATACTCAAAAAAGCTTCGGTGAATTATGAAAGACATTTATCAGACATTAGAAAAATTCCAGGGTTGGGAAAAATTTACCATCATTTATCAGAGGCTTGAAACTGCAATGTATTTTTCAT